AATGTCTTGAAGCAGAGCCCAACAGACCATAGGTATCTTTCCATTTAATTCTGCTGCTGATGGACTATATTCTTATCCAGCACACAGTATGATTTATTAGGGTGACAGAATTTTTACAATCTGAGATTTGTACATCCATTACTTGAACTACATGAGCAAGGAAAATAATGCTGTTCTGTTTATACCTATTACAAAATAGAAATGGGCAAACCTTGAAAAAAAGTTTCATATCTCTCTCCTTGTCCAAACAAAGCAAGTTTCTTCTAGGTTTCTAGACAGAACTCTCCTTTTGATGTATTATAACTGACTGGGAAGACTTTCCAGAACATACAAATTAAAACCTTAATTCCTAAAATGTGTTTTGCTAATTATGTGATTTTGGTGTTAATGGATTGTCTGAGCTAAAATGTAGTAAAAAATTTTAAACCAATAAGTGTTTTTATTTTTTAAAAAAACAAAACAAAAAAAAACAAACAAACAAACAAAAAACCCCACAAATATAATGCAATTGTTCCCAAGCGTGGAGAATGTCAGTAACCATGGAATTCAGAGTCTTTCCCTTTTAGTCTCTGGGCACTCTCATGACCAAGCTTTAAAATGAATTTTCTTTTCTTCTGACCCGGAGTTCTTGGAACTTGTGACTGAAAATGGCTCAGCTTTGCCAGTAAAAAGGGCTTCTGCTTTACTCTGTACTGTCCTGGAAATTGTGGATTTCTGTGAGGTGCCTAACTTCGACAAGTTGTGAAGGTTTTGTATGAGCTAACTTTTTAGCTAGTTACTTTTCTAGAGTTCTCCCAATCCATGACTTTGCAACATGAAACGTTCAAAAGGGACAATAAGCAATGGCAGCAAAAGAGAAATGTTCAAATTCTTTCACTGTTTCCAATCCCTGTCCCCTTGACAGTACTGTCATTTTATGCAGGACTTTTGACACTGGTATAAGGACTGTGAGAGTGTTTACAGAGACGCAAGGGAGCCAGTCTTCAAAACTACTCAACAAAAGTCCAATTAAATTTCTTGACAACTGTTAAACCACCTCAAAACAATCTTGAATACACTTCTCATGCATTTGGGAATAAACTAATATAATGATGAAGGAAATGTAGCAATGCATTTATTTTCCAAGCCATGTTTTTAACTGCAAATGACAAAGCCAGGCAATGGTGTTCCTGTTGCATGAATTGTTGAGAGCTAGGTGTTTATGGCAGGTAACAAAGCAGAAAAAGTACAAGCTTCATTTCCCACAGACTTGGCTGGGCCTGCAGCTAAATATCAAATTGTTTTCATAGAATCAACATTCAGCAGCAATCAGAAATTGAATTCTACAATAGATTTCTTTGAGGTTCATAAGCTTTAGGCATGCTCAAGAGCCACATTTAGAAAATATCCACAAGAAGAAACTCTGCCAGAAAAACAGGATTAGGCAGATCCTTAGACTGGACATGTTTACATTTACTGGCTTCATTGGATACACCCTTATTACAGTAAATTACATGTAAAATCGGGAAGAAATTGGAATTTTTCCTCTTTCTAAACAAAATATTACATAATGTTACACATCTCACTTTGGCTATGTGTCTCCATATTTTGGCTAAGTATGTCTACAGTACTTCCTTAGCCAACTACCTCTTTATTCGTACCAGACCATATAAACAATTTTTAAGATCACAACCAAAGTTTGTAGGGTGACAGGTGAATTGGGTAGGTGAGTACATCATTTTCATGGAGGTGAGAAGACCAAAGGAAACATTTCTATTTCTAGCATGGAGCACATCATGAAATGTTTGGCTGCATCATTTGTTCTAATGCCCCAATAATTTCTCTAGTTCTTTATTTAGAAGAAAAGGAAGAAATCTATCCTTATAACTCCCTTTATCACACATTTTTTTTGTCCTGCTCATAATCCCCTCTACCACTTGCTCCACCTGAGGCTGGAAGGGCAGCTGAGACTTCATCAGCAGATGGGCTGTGCAAAGATGTGTCTTTACTTTCTATTCCTAATCTAGGAGGCAGGTATATCCCTGCAGTTTCAGAACAGAAGGGATGCCAAAACCTAAAATTAACCCAACAACCTGGCCCCTACTCAATGACCTTATGCAAAGCAGCAGCCAACAAAAGGGGGAAGATCTGAGAATTAGTGGGACTCTGGAAGTGCCACCTTCTGTGACTGTAGCGAGGTGAATTAAGGTGTGAGGATGCAATTCTCCACTCTGTTTTCTATTTGAAAAAGCTCTTGTCCAAGAAAACAGTTTGAGAGTACACTAGATAAAGCAGATTTTTTGATGAACTGAACTTCAGAAAGCAATTTGAATATAAGGTAAACTTTATGTGGCCTTTTTTTAATGGGAACTTTTGGAAACAGTAAAATTTAAAGCATTGGAAACTGTATTTCTCTTGGTGGTTTATAAGTTATATATATATATATATATATATATATATATAAAAATACAGACCATGAGTATTTTCCAGTGATGCCTCCATCTTATTCTAGTACTCCATTTCTGTCTCTGAAAAAGGTCTTCAGGAGTCCTATGCATTTGAATATTTGCCTCTCTCCTGTGATTCTCAATAAAGATACAAATTGGTGTCAATGGTGATGATAGTTTTTCACAGTATAGGCACCTGCCCACTAGAAAGTGGACTGAAACCAGCAGATAGTAGCCATGGTATCCAACCATTTCAGTGCTGGGCAGTATGCAAGTCAGTGACAAAAAAAAAGCTCAGCCACATTAAGAATCACCCAAAACATACAGTCTGCCTGAATATATATAATTCTTCAACACTGATTAAAATAGCTTCATTAAAAAATGTATTCAAGGGCCCTGGATTTTTAGCCTCTGATGGTTTTTATGTAGGCCAAAGAGTACTTGTTCTAAAGAATTGAAGGAGGATTAATCAGCAAATTGGCTGCAACTTCCTTCAGAAAGAGAATGCTGATTTTTAACTACTGTATTTTAATGGTATCTCTGAGCCTGAGATCTGATTTTATGGCATTCAGCATGTGACTCACGCTCTCTTATAACTTTGAATTATGCATTTTATCTTGTCTTCTGGTTTTAGATTTTACTGACAAGGTTCTCAGTGACAGCTAAATAAAACCAACCATCATGCTCCTAAGGTTTTTTTTGTTGTTTTCATTTCTTATTATTCATCAGAACTCAGAGATCCAAGTCCAACCCCAGACTGAGTACTTGTGTCTGCCTGAGCACCTCTCATAGCCTTGCCAACTGCCCTGACAAGTCAACTGTCTTAAAGTCTCTCTTTCTTTCCAGTTTTTACTTCACTTTTGAGACTTTGGAAGCCTTACTTTGCTCACAGGGTGGAACAGTTGTATTTTTTGAGTGCTTACCCACCAGGAAATCCTCTACACTGCCTCTTTGTGCTGCCACACTGGTGCATTAAAAGTAGTTGTGAACCAGGTTGGGAAAGACCTTTCTGCATGTGAATCTCTGGCAGACAAATTGTTCTGATATTTTATTTATGTGGTTTACTCCCCTTTCTTATTATTTTTAGGAACACAGAATAGCTCAGTTTGCTAGGAACTTCATATTTCTAATGCAACCTCCAGCTCCACGCAGGATTAGCTTCAAACTCAGCATCCTCCCACCACACACCACTTGGTAGAGTCTGCCTCCACCCTGACTGTAAGTGCCTGGGCTCTGCTGTTCAGTGCCTTCGAAGCTGTGTCCTCCCCAGGCTGAACAAGTCCGTGTCCCTCCTCAGCTTCTCACAGGACAAGTGCTCTTCCCTCTCCCATTCTAGAGGCCTCTACTGAACTCACTTCAGTTTATCAATGTTTGTCTTGAACTGGGGAGCCCAGAACTGTTGCTGCCAGACCCACTGCTGGCTCAGGCACATCTACCAAACCCAAAGAGCACCTAAAGCAGAGCTGCCTCACAGCAGAGCCAATCCATCCCCAGTCTGTGCTACTGCCATGGTTCTCCCTGCCTAGGGGCAGAACTTTTCAGTTTTCCTTAGAAAATTTATAAGGAGATTGCTGTTGGCTGTTCCTCCAGGCTGCTCAGGTCCCTCCAAAGGCAGCCCTGCCCTTAGGTACATTGACTGCATGCACCCCCAAGCGTCAGGTGCAAAACTTCCTATAGTTTCTCTAGGTAGTCTCTTCTATCTTTTCACCCTGTCCTTTTTCCTGTTTGTTTTTATCTTATCTGCTTACTAAACACAAGGTAACTTTCAGCCTGCTCTCCTAATAGAGCTGGCAAGCAGAAGTTTCCCTGTTTTAATCCAGGTCACACTTCCTCTTAAACAAACCTTTCTCATTCACAACATTCAGTCACATGGACCTGGAGAATGTAAATTTCTCCACTCCTACAACAAGGTATTTTTCTAGCAGCAATGTAAAATCTTAATCAAAGCTTACAGGAGCAGGGAATGTCACAGTGTACTTTTGCAATACATCAATAAGACCAAATGCCAGCTTTTTCCGTGCCAGCTGATTAGTCTAATCTCAGACAAAACAGCTAGTAAGTTGTGCTAGAAGAGTATTTCTGAACTGGATTCCATTCTCTGATATGCAAATAGTTCTTGAAAACTTCCAAAATGCTACTTTTACTTTAATTAGTAGATTTATTTTTTTTTTAGTCATACACAGACTTTTGTAATCTTAATTAGTAGGCGTTTTAAACACTGATAGTTCTCAGATCAGTGGGGTTCACAGGTTCTGACATTTTTAAAGGAAGAGTTGGTCATTTTATATCTACTTTAGTTTTCTGGTTTATTGTGCTAATTAAGGGATCATTAATTTCAAACATATTAATGTATGCAAAGCTCCCTGCAAATGCAAAACTCTAAGCTCAATCACTGTTCTACATTTTGGTGTTCCTCTGTGGAAAAGATAGGGTAGGGGTCACTTTGTTCTAAAAATACACAGAGAGTGTATGTTGCAGCTCAAATATATGTCAGCAAGTATTTATGGATCAAAATAGGGTAACACCAAATAGATGATACTAAAAATGTCAGTGAGAATATTAAAATGGAAATACACCTCCTATTTGTTTGTGTCATGGTTTGAGATAGCCCCAAAATCCAATTCCCTAGCTCCATCCCCCCTCCCACATCTCAACCTAATGTGAGATGGGTTTTTCCAGACAAAACACACCAGACTCAGAATGGGGGAAAGGGAATATATTACAATGACTGTACAAATAAATACTATAACACATTATACACACGATCACAACTATCTCTACCATGACATATAGTATTTACAATGGATCTGATCTCTTCTCCCCTCCAAATAAAAGTCCAGGAGGGAAAGAAGGACAGATCCCTTTCCAGTCTCTCAGGGCAGCAGCTTCTTCTAAGGCAGCAGGTTCTCCTCATCTCATGCATGCAGCAGTAACTGGATTGTTGTAGCTGGATCTCTGTTCGATACACACAAGGGGGTCTCCAAGCCCCTCGGCTCTCCTTCGGTCCAAGCGAAGACCTCACCTGTGGGCTGCCAGCAGGGACCAGACTCGCATCACCACAGGTATATCACGAAATGCAGGGGCATCTTCGTGAAAGTCCCTTCCTCAGGGGATTCAAATTCCCCTTTGCAGAGCTCCGTGGTCTATCTCAAGGCTGCTAGCTTAGCAGCAGCAGCGAGGGGGGCCAAGGTCAAACCCCCCCCATTCCTTCTCCGTCCCGGTCCAGCTTCAGGACGCCTTTGAGCTTCTCAGCTCCTCTCTGCAGTGCATGCTGCACTTCAAGGCTCTTTCAAGTAAGAGTCCATCATCTTCCTCCTTTCCAGGAGGTCTCAAAGGAGTTTTAGGGATTTGGTACAGTTCCTACCCCCAGAACTCCAAAGCTCTGCTGTAGGCTCTCTTCTCCTCAACTCTCCTTCCAGGAGTCTTCTCTGCAGTGCTGCATGTCTCTGTTGCTCCGTCTTATCTCTTCTGGCTCTCTGCCACCGCTTCTCCGGTCAGTGCCAGCTCGGTTGCTTTTCTCCGGCCGCTGCCCAGTTTGGAGAAAACATCTCCCAGCTCTCAACTACAGGTACCTAGCCTAGCTTTATGCTGTTCCAGGTCCCTGTAGCCCCATCTGAGGCTGGGGGGCCCCAGAGGCCCCGAGGGGCTCCGGGCCCCTTTCCTCGTTGCTCCTACCACAATGGCTACTCCTCTACCAACAAAACTACAACTCTTCTCTTCCGGTGCTTGTGATATGTTTACATTTCTGCAGGGGTGCCCATTGGACAGAGCTCCAAAACTTCCAGGGGTTTCCACCCCTGGGGGTTACCACTTTTCAGCCTCTGGGGGAAAACAAGGTTCAAACCACTACAGTTTGTCATCCAAATAACAAACCTGGACTAATGCTTTTCCTTTGCCAGCCTTGTCTGGTTTTGTTTGGGGTTTTTTTTCAAGCCTGTGATTAACATTAAAGGGGAAATCATGTTTTCTGCCTGTCAGTAAATATTCACACACCCCATTTCCCTCAGCTGTTTTTGTCCCCCAACTGAGATATATGGATGTTCACCTGAAAAGCAAATGCCTGACCATGAATACGCATGTCAAGAGCAAGGAGAAGCCAAGGCTCTTGAAATAAGCAGCAGTCAGGGGAAGTTTCAACAAGCATCCAGAAACTCTACATCTGGCAGTGGTCTCTTGATAAAGGCTGTTCCCTTCAGGCACCAACTGAAGAGATCGACCAGTATCAGGCTAAAGGTTTGTCTTTGACTTTTTCCAGATGCCACTTGTTAGTTTTATTGGCATTGTCCAAAACTAAACGAATAATAATATCAACCAAATGATAGCAATGCACCCAAGAATCCTGTTTTTCAGCTTGCTGGTTTTTTCAAATAGAAAACCCACCACATTTTTCAGATCTCTTTCCATTTGCAGCATGAATTTTTGCCCTCAGTTTATAGTATTCTGTAGATCTTTAATTTTTCAAAAGCAATTCACTATAAACTCTCTTTCTTTTAGTCAAGAGAAAAAGAAGAGAAGATGGAGAGAAAAGGACAGGCTGAGGAAGCCAAACTGCTCTTTGCAGTAGGACATTCTCTCACCACACTGGTAGAAACAAGCAGTGTAAGCAGTAATGGCTTTTGCAATCATGATGCCTTGTGTTGCATCATAGTTTGACCTCTGTCTAACAAAGTCATTTAGTGTCCTGTGAGTTAGTTAACCGTTGTGGAAAATCAGCCCAAAGATATAGATTTTTCAGTACCTCACAGAAAAACTGTCAGATGTAATTTATGTTTGTCAGACTCTTAAAGACATTTACAAGAACATGCTCAAGAAATTACTGTCATTGAATGATCAAAATCATATTTTCAGTATATAGTAATATGAGATGTGAAAACAGTTTCAGTTATGTAATTCCAAACCACAGCATTTAGGATCTTTGAGAGTCTTCTGTCTCCAATACCAAAGAACCCGATCACAAACAATATTTATTGAACTTAACTGCAAAATGCTTCTGGGAAGTAGACAAGGTGTTTTATCTCAGTTTTATAAATGGGAGTTTGTCTTGCAGACAAACAGACCTAATTCTTGCTGTGGATCATTGAGGAGGAGAAGGCAGAGCAGGGAATGGAAATTTAGAGTGGAAATCATCCCAGCACTTCAAACATTAAATATCCAGTTTAAAATAAACTCTGAGAAAGCAAGAGAAGTCTCACAACAATAGTACATCACACACTGAGATAGATCGCTGGGGCACACTGCCCACCGAAGATGTCTCTCCCCACTGGTCCTGTCAGGAGCTCAGCCAGCATGATCAGGCAGCATTTTAACAGCTGAAGCCTGAAGTCTTCCCTTTGGTACTGCCACTTCTAAGGTGACCATGGGAGTACTTACCCATTGGGCTGTTTATTTCCAAAAAAGGAAGCAGTAACCACATCACAACTGGCCATTGTATTTCATTAAAAAAAAACCAAACTATTTTGCTAATCAGGATACAACATACAATTTCACAGAAGAAACAAATGTTCTTGAACATAATCAACATAATTTTATCTATCATCTAGCAGTTTAGACCAATCTGATCTTTAGTCTCCTCTTGGCAGACCTAAAGAGTTCACTCTGCATTTATTTTTAGAGGACGGGCTATGCCACAAGAGAAGACCAGCAGCGAAATTGCAAACCACATAGATCTCTGTTCCCACACAAAGAGGTCTCTTCAGTAAAGTCAAAATACTGCTGATTCAGTAGTATCAGTCTTTCTGTATCTCATACCATTAGTCCTGAAGGGAGACAAGGAGTCATGCTGTTCTGCTTAGTCATGCAGAGGAAACTAAAATCTCTTTTGAAATACTAAACACAGTATGAAAGACCTAATGGCAACCTAATCACTCCACAGAACCTGATCTTAAGCTCAAAAATGCCTGTGCTACTCAGTGACAAAACCCAACGCTGATGCCAAGCGGGAACAAGAAACAGAAATGTTTTACTACACCTTGTTTTCCCTTCTGTTCCAAAGCCTTGATTCCAAAAACGGTTCATATACGCATTAGTAAAAGGTGACATGTAATAGGAATGAATTTGTAGAATGGGGCAACTCGTGTTAAGATTTTCAGGACACACCACCCCTATTTCAGGGAGCAGCACCTCAGGTAAGTCTAGTCTCATTCCGTGGATTGAATGTTCACAACTGGCTGGAACACACTAAAGGCTTTCCTGAAGCCCATCATTTTGTTTAGTTCAATCAAGAGCAGTCCAGCTTGCTCAGAGAGTGCACCATGACCCAGAGCAAGATACAGCAAAATTACCTGCACTAAAGCATGGATCTAGATTCACCAGGCACTGTTTGCAAGAACTTGCTGACAAACGAAAATGGTATGACTAGGAAGTTGACTCTCTGGAGCTTGGTCTATACTACTGAAATTAGATTGTCAAAGCTACCTGACAAGTAGGCAGCTGAAATCCAAACCCCCCCCAATTTTATAGGCAGCATTACACCATATTTCTAAACACCACCCTTTATATTGGCATCTTCTACCAGAATAAACTGCCTACAAGATTGCATTTCCACATACCATGCTAATATGGCTATTTTAGCAAGAATTTTTCATTTAGACATTTCATGAACTCTGTGCTACACCATTCTGAACCAATAAAAAAATCCAGGAAGGATTCAAGGTGCCTAAACCTTCCCCTGGTGAACCAGAACTCTTTTCATAAGCACATTTCATTCCAGCAAAACATATTTGACCTCACACACTGAACGCCTGCTCCATGCCAGTCTTATCTGCACTAATCGGATATTTGTGTGAGCTAGAATCTGCTTCATGTAATGCTTAAATAATCATGGAAAGAATGTGGCCCAACTATGAGAAACCTTTAATCCCGTCTTCCCCTTCCCCAAATGCAGGTGCACACAACATGGTGAAAAACTTTTAACATGTCTTTCTTTTGACCTTTTGTACTCTTTAGCTCTTGTTGGTCTATAACCAATTCCCTGTATCACATTATTCATGAATTACCTTCATGTTCTTCATAGAATTCAGTTATCTGAGATTTAGACAAGTCTGTTTTGATATCTGAGGTCTGGATCCAATAACAGATATGTGTACTTGAAAATAAAACTCTGCAAGGCCTCTGCCAGAACTCCTGGCTCTTGGGGTGAAACCCAGAGCTTCAAAAGGACAATTATAAGCAAACGTGATACCTTCAGCAGTAGACATCTAAATCTTGTCATTAAGAGACACTAAGTACAACGGAAGGTCTCAAACCTTCTCCCTCAGCAGAGTTTAACTGAGGCAAGACTGAAGGAATATACCTTCATACATATTTTCATATGCGTACATACATATAGACACACATGCACATATATATATGTATGCATACAGTCTGGATCCACAGCATAGTGTTCTGTTTACTAGACAGAAAGCTACAGTTGGTTTTTGCAAAGATAGAGACAGTCTCTTCTTTGCAGTAAACAGAGTTGGAAGTACCAAGGTGGCGATGCAGAAAGTAGGAAACAAAGGCCACGTCCTTCTTCAGTTGGTGTGGTCGCAAACAACACCTTCTAGTACCTTCTTCTATGTCTACAAGCAAGAAAGTTAATCTGTATGTGATCAGTGTCCATGCCTCTTCTTGATGTGGTCACACTTCATAGCATAGCTCTTTAGACTCTGGGTAAAATCAGAGAAGACGTGCATTTCAGAAAATGTGGTAGTCAAGGCACTTAACTGCAAAACAGAAGATTCAGCTCTGATATTGATATCCAGGATCCTTTCTGGAATAGCATCTGCCCTGCCCTTCAGAAAGTACCATCATTAAGGAGGAAGACTGACCCCTGTTCCTGTCCTCCTGGTTCATTAAGCTTGCATTTTTTCCCCTACAGGTCTTGGTACAACATCCTTGCCCACAACTTGCAGACCCACACTGCGCTCTGCTGAAATTAAGGTAGAGCCAAACTTGCTGAATGGGAGCACTGGTGGCCCTGGTCTCCTGAGAGTTGGCATCTGCCATCACTGTACAGAGGAGGACCTCCTCCATTAGCTGTGTTTTAAATGTTGATTGTCAAGTTTTCCAGAAGAAATAAACAGATGCTCAGCTCAGACTAAGTGGTAACATTTGGCCTTTTACTGGAGCATAACTTTAGGCACTTGAGAATATTTTGTCACTGAAACTCAGGCCTTTCAGCTGCTTCAGCAAGCTAGGCACCACGGGGAGGGAAAAAAGTACTCTCTTGTACCAAATTACGTGTAGCCTGCATCCAAAATTCTTAAATACTGTTTTGTTCCCAAAATCCTTGAAAGTGAAACTAGGCAGAGAGTAAGCATCATGAGACCATTACAAACAGCATTCAAGAACTTCTCTAACTGTGCCTTGATCTTGCTTTTCACTATGATGTCCTGTTCAAGACCCAGCCTAAATTCTGATGAGTCAAATCCCCAGCAGGAGGGCCAGGAAAAAATTGATCACAGGCTTTAATCATCAGCCATCATCTTCTGGAATATATGGATGCAGCTCACACAGGATTCTGGTGTTTCCAATGTAGTGACATATAAACATATCAGGATATGGGAACAACAGCTCTCTAGTTACTGCGTGAAATCTGACTGACTGGTTACTTGGACAGAATAAAAGTGTGATTTTGGCAATGCAATAAAACGGTTTACATCCGAGGCTGTGGGTAGCGCAATAGAGGTGATTCTTTGCTTCCTGCCCTACCTTTACCACACTTCTGTTTTCTTCAAATGGCTCTACGTTTGACACTGAGCGCAGTTCTTCTTCTGGTTGTCACTGTCACAGT